TGTTTGTTTGTTTGTTTGTTTGTTTGTTTGTTTGTTTGTTTGTTTGTATGGATTTAGGTATGCATTCTCCTAATTAAGCACAGATCTAATCCCAATATTTTGTCAAATTTGTAATAGCCTTTTGATAGGGCAGGTTTAAATTAACTAGCTGCCTACATGAACCATGCCAACTCAGAGATACGTAGTTTGTGTGGAAAGCTTACTTTCTTTTGTTACCTCTGGTGTTCTGGATTGCTGTTATCTTTTGTTTGCCATTGCTCCCTTTGGTCTTCAAGCTTGTAAAGCTAGTTGCTTCTTTATTCTGTTTTATTTTAGGGAAAAATCTTAGCTTCACCCTGTGCAATAATAATCAAATATTAGCTAAATTTAACACACACGAGATACTTGGATTCCATTTACTTGAAGATCTCTGATGGGTTTATTTCTAGCTAAATTAATGTATATGCTGCAGAATATGCTGCAGACATGGGCTGTGCCTAGAATGCTACAGTTCAGAGAGCCTGTGGTCATGTGATAGCATCTGGATCCTTGACTCATTTGCACAGTAACCTTTTAGAAGGACTTGACTCCATATCATTCCACTCCAAAGGTGATAATGCAACAACTTCAAACTTGTGACTGGTTAAAAAGCAATGTCGTAGATAAGTGAGGATAAAAATGACCAGGATACTCAAAGAAGTACACATATAAGCAAAGTATTTCAGCTGAATTGTCCATGATATAATCAGAATCCACCAAATTTAGAAAACTTCCTCAATTTTTTTTCTGAAATCAGATAAATGTTTGATGGCTGTTTATATTAATTAGCTTAATTAAAATGTTAGGAAATCTGATCTATAACTAAATCCATTTTTGGCCATATGGTAGTAAATTTACAGTTTCCAACAGCAATAGTTAGAAAGTTAAATCTCTTTAATAGTGCAAGACGTTCTAAAATTGCTACAGTGCACACTTGTCCCACAATCCACACCCAAGAAAAAGGTTAAATGTTAAATGCCTTTGTGTCTTCCTTTTAATTTTCACATACAGCATTTCAAAATTTGGGCATGCACGGTATCGTAAATTCACTGAGTTGACGTCCAGACACCTTGATTTGCATCAGCTGCCAGCTACCAAAAATAAACACACATTCTTCAGTGAAGAAGAAGACCTTGTGAGATTTAAGAAGAGCAGAACCTTAGAAAAGGTAATTAAAAAGTGTACAAAAACAGATGTTGCTGGAAAAGTTTAGCAGATCTGGCAGCACCTGTGAAGAAAAAATCAGAGTTAACGTTTCGGGTCCTGTGATCCTTCCCCTAGTTCTGAGGAAGGGTCACTCGACCCAAAATGTTAACTTTTTTTCTTCACAGATGCTGCCAGACCTGCTGAACTTTTCCAGCAACGTCTGTTTTTGTTCCTGATTTACAGCATCCGCAGTTCTTTCGGTTTTTAAAACAAAGTGTACCCCACAGATTGAGTGATGCAGGGGGCTAGTACCTCAGGTACAGGTTTGATTTCAGCCTACTGAGTTGCAAGCAAGTATTGTTGGCCCAATTGTGCTTTTCCATCGTTAAGAATGAATAAACAGAGGCTTAAATGTTTTCCTTCATATATTTTGTTTTTGCTCTTAATTTAACAAAACTTATAATTTTTAAAAAATAATTTGGATAAAAACTCAACGTATCTTTTCTATGAATTAAACTACTGATGAGTATCACAGATAAGATGGTGGTGTTAGGCACATCTGAATGTATCACATAAAGATATGCCACAGTCATCTGTTAACATTTAGTACTCTCTCTCACAGTAGACGTAAGAGGCATTTTTGGAGTTGATTGATCATTGCTTATTTTAATGATTTCAGGTGCAAAGATTTTTAAAACAAGTGCCTTCAAATGACCCTCTGTCAACTAACATAGAGACTCCACCTTGTGTGGTACACAGCTCTGAGGAATGCAACAGTTCTGAGGAGCACCACAGTCCTAAAGCAGAGAGCTGCATTGTATGTGAGAAAAGCAACAGGGGAAATGGAGATGATGGAACTTGTGCTGATGGGAAATTCGTAAATCGTGTCAGTGTTCCTTCCAAATTGAATAAATGCATTCAAGGCAACAATGAACAGCTTCCTGAAAAGTATGATGTGACTCCTGCTTCTGCCAAAAACTTTGAACCACATTCTGACAGACGGCTGGTTCCTATGGATATTCCAGACTTCCTTCTTCCTGATGCTGATGTAACTGAGAGGGATGATGAATGTATGTATCAAACCTAAGTATCCAAACGCTATTTTGTTGGGTCACAGATGCAAACCACAATTTCAAGTTTTTGCAAAGTCTTGTAAAAGAGGACCTACTTCATAGTAAAATGATCACTATTGATCCCAGAATCCTGTACAATATTAAACCTTCTTAATCTATCATCAAGAGGCTTGTTTAAATTCAGTAGAAATGTGAGTGTTTTATATTAAAACTTGTAAAATATATTAATCAGTACTGTAATATGTTATTATGTTAAAATGTTTATATGGGGATCAACTAGCTCAGTGGGGTGGACGGCTGGGTTGCATTGCAGAGTGATGCCAACAGCATGGGTTCAATTCTCGCACTGGCTGAGGTTTCCATGAAGTACTGTCCTCCTCAACCTCTCCCCTCGCCTGAAGTACAGTCACCCTCAATTTAAACCACCACTGGTTGTGTGTCTTTAATGAGAGAGCAGCCCTATGCTCTGTAGGGCAATGGCAACTTGATGTTTACATGTTAGCAATTTGAAAATGAGTTCAAAAAATACTTTGCCAATATTAAAAAATGTTCAATTTTGTATTTTCCTCATGTGCTCCCTTGCCATTTATGAATTCCTGAGCAAGAAGGCAGACAGTTCTGCTTGTACAAAACCTCTTAGCACATCCTTGTAGAGATCTGTTTGGTGCAATTTAAGAATAATTTGGCCAAAATGCTCAAATCCACTCCACTCCTTTTAGGAGTTTCTAGTTTCTGCTGGCTACTTAAAAGGCCCGGCCATTGCAATGCTGTGTTTACTTGTAAAACAACCCTTACTCTACTTTTGCTTCATTGTAAGTGCATAGGAGTCCAGAGTCGATGCATGTTAATATATTCCTGAGAAATATTTAGAAGTCTTTAGCTAACTGTACGAATATCAGTGGTGAATTTTTTTTTTGTTGTAGAGCACAGCAGATTTATGCACTGATCAGTACAAGTTTGCTGAAAATTTATGACCATTGTAATAAATAAGTGTTAACCTGTTGCAACTATTTTGCAGTGCAAACCACAAAGAATATTAGGAAGGACAAAAAAAGAAGGAAGAAAAAGAAGAAAGTTATTGATATTCCCTTTGACATAGTAGCAGTTCCAGAATTGACCAAATACTGGGCCCAGCGTTATAGACTGTTTTCACGCTTTGATGAGGGAATTAAACTTGATCAGGGTTGGTAACTGAGCTTCTTTTTACTTGACTTTTTCTCCTACTTCTGAATCCGTTGTGCAGGCCACACCATGGGGAGCAAATTGACTGATGACATTGTATCATGTGTGATAAAACATAAATTGTATAAATATCTATGTTAAGATGATTTTTAGAGCTGACATTTCAAAGTAGTGGCGTATAAGTGTTAGTTACTTTTGCAAAGGGTAAGGTCAGCAGGTGAGTAGGAATCCCTAGAGTATTAATGGGAAATTCTGTTGTGGTTTACACCAATTAGAGTAAACTTTGAAGGCCTTTGTTCTCAATTCAGAATAATCAAGGATTAACTTTAGTTCAGAAAATCTAGTTTTTTTTAGAATAGTTCGGAGGAGACTTGTCCAGGGTCAGAAGAAAGTATAGTTTCTCGGCTAGAAAGAAATTTTTCAGAGTAGTTCAGTGATAACTTAACTCAGCACGCGTTTCATTTGTGTAGCTTCCATACCAGAAAGGTGGGTTAGACATATGCAGGTTGTTAGAAGCTGGGAAAGTTTAAGCTCTCCGTTTAGTATTTATGTAAGAAAATTCCATAATTCACAGACAAGATACTAGGGCAAATCAGTTAAGTATAATTTTAAAAATTTAAGAAGAGTGATAACTTCACTGGACTTGAATTTCTGTAATCTAATGGTATCAGGAATTTTGTTGAAAGCTTTGTTTTGCTGTAGAGTCATAGAGTAATACAGCATGGAAACAGGCTCAAACTGGTCCATGCTGACCATGGTGCCCACTCAGCTATTTCCAGTTGCCCGCATTTGGTCCGTATTCCTTTTAAAACCTTCCCATCCGTGTACCTATCCAAGCGTTTTTTAAATGGTGCTATTGTACCTGTCTCAACCACTTTCTCTGGCAACCCATTCCATTTACGCACCACTTTCTGCATGAAGAAGTTGCCCCTCAGGTCCTTATTAAAGCATTCTCTTCTCACCAACCTATGCCGTCTAGTTTTCAAATCCCCATCCCTGGGAAAAGACTGTATGCATTCACCCCATCTATGCCCCTCATGATTTTATAGACCTCAATAAGATCACCCTCATTCTCCTACATTCCAAGGAATAAAGTCCTATCCTGGCCAACCTCTCCGCATAACTCGGGACTTATAGTCCTGGCAATTTCCTCGTAAATCATCTTTGCACACTTTCCAGTTTAACTATGTCTTTCCTATAACAGGGTGACCAAAACTGTACACAATACTCCAACTGCCGCCTCACCGACAACTTATACAAAGGTAACATAACGTCCTAACTCCTATACTCCATGCCTCGACCAATGAAGGCCAGCATGCCAAATGCCTTCTTCACCAGCCTGTCTACCTGTGACGCTGCTTTGAACGAACTATGTACTTGTACTCCTAGGTCCCTCTGATCTACAACACTCCTCAGGACCTTGCCATTTACTGTACAAGTCCTAACTTGGTTTGACTTTTCAAATTGGAACACCTCACACTTATCTGTATTCAATTGCATTTGCCAATCCTCAGTCCACTTCCCCAACTAATCAAGATTCCTCTATAATATTTGATAACCTTGCTCGCTAATTATGCCTTGTATGTTCACATCCAGATCATTTATGTAAATAACACATAACAAAGATCCCAGCACCGACCCTTGTAGCACACCACTAGTCACAGACCTCCAGTCCAAAAAACAACTTTCAACAGTCACCCTCTGCTTCCTACTATCGAGCCAGTTTTGAATCCAATTAGCTAGCTCTCCCTGAATCTCATGCGACCTAACCTTATGATTAGCCTGCCGTGCAGGACCTTGTCAAAGGCCTTACTTACATCCATATAGACATCATCCACTGCCCTACCCTCATCTATCCTCTTGGTTACCTCTTCAAAAAATTCTAAAAGATTCATCCGACATGACTTCCCGAGTACAAATCCATGCTGACTATCCTTAATCAGACCTTGACTATCCAAATGTTGGCTGATCCTGTCCCTCGGTATCCTCTCCAATAACTTGCCTACCACTCATATCAGGCTCGCTGGCCTGTAGTCCCCTGCTTTGTCTTTGCTACCTTTCTTAAACAATGGAACAACATTAGCCTCCCTCCAGTCTTCCAGAACTTCACCAGTGCCTAAAGCTGAAGCAAACTCTCGGCAAGGGCCTCTGCAATTTCTTCCATAGCCTCCCACAATGTCTGAGGATGGACTTGATCAGGCCCAGGGGAATTATCCACCTAATTCAACCTAAGGCTGCAAACATCTCCTCTCTGGTAATATGTATGCAGTCCAAAACATTCCCACTTGTTTCCCTTTTTCCTTAGCTTCCATGATTCTCTCCTCAGTAAACACTGAGCAGAAATCTTCATTAAAAACCTCCCCCATCTATATGTTTGAGATTTTTCCAAAAAGTTCTCTATATTTAGGTAGGTTTTTTGTTGTTTGTTCTCATCCTTTGTATGGAAAACTTCTATTTTGTTGTTAAAGAAACTCTGCAGCCTCCTATAACTATGTTTAGTGGCTGACTACCACCTTAACAAAAAAAAATCAAACCAGATTGCATTCTGTAATCTGTCTTGTGAAGTGGTATCATCAGTGGGATCATAATACATGTTAGAAGGGTGGTGTTCCTCAGGGTACAAAGTTGTCCTGGTTGGGACCCTTGGATGTGATGGCCATCCAGGTGCTCCATTTGGGATAGACTTTAAATGCATATTGAAGGATAATTCATATTATCGTTAAACATGCTGGGAACTGTATTTAGGATTCCATGTATAAAGGAGGAAATTTGTAAATTTCTCCTGGACAGTATTACTAACATTAAAATATTATTGTGGGGCATTAGGTTTTTCTTGTCTTTGTGTGCGGCCTCTTGCAGGGGACAGTTGCTTTTGGTTTGCCTGCAGTTATAATTGTAATGTAAAGGACGCTGCGTCTCTCCACCTAACAACTTTGTATTATGATGCACCTATGATTTGTATAGCAGCTTTCATATCTCAAAATGTAACCATTTACATGCAATATAAATGTAAATTGTGTCTTTGTCTTCCAGAAGGCTGGTTTTCGGTCACTCCTGAGAAGATTGCTGAGCACATTGCCAATCGTGTCATGCAGAGTTCTCATTGTGATATCATTGTTGATGCATTTTGTGGAGTTGGAGGCAATTCAATTCAGTTTGCGTTAGCTGGGAAAAGAGGTACAGGACTGTGACTTTGACTTTGAGCTGCTTATTCAGCCATCCTGGGGAAATCCGTCTATGTGTCTGTATTGCCTTATGATATTGACTTGTATATCAAGGTCATTTACTGATGTAGACTAATGACCAAACATCTAAAGTTAGCTGTATGAGGGTTAACATATCATACCCAGAACTTCTTTTACAAAACAGTGAATCCGATTGGTTAGCTGAACATATCTGCTATGTTCCTATTTCCTTCTGAACACACACAAACTGCAGAAAAGGTATTGTGCTGATCTGTTAATGCTCACCTAAATGATGGTAGCCACCATTAGTAATATTTAAAAATATTAGATAATGAGCATTAATTTGAATAACTTAAAATAATAAAAAAATCCACACCAAGCTTCAGTATCATCCAAAATTAGACTTAAAAACTAGAGGGCATAAGGTTAAGGTGGATCAGAGATAGTAGGAACTGCAGATGCTGGAGAATCCGAGACAACAAGGTGCAGGGCTGGATGAACACAGCAGGCCAAGCAGCATCATAGGAGCAGAAAGGCTGACGTTTCGGGCCTAGACCCTTCATCAGAAAAA